GCTTCGAAGTTCGTGTTTCTTGGACACCTTTTGGACGGACCTTCTGAGAATTCCATTTCGTGGTCTGTTACGCGGGTATCTGCAGTGTCTTCCATTGATTTTGAAAGGGCGATTTCAATCACTGTAGTCTGTCATTTAATGCGACTTCAGTCTGCAGACTGGATAAGCATGAGAAAATGAAAGTACAGAAAAAATGCGAAGTGTTGCTGCTTCGTTGAGGAGTTCACGCTGTCGTTCGTTGACTAAATGTCATCTTTCTCTGTGTTTCGCTTCCAGGTAATTTTCTCTAATGTTGAGACGGATCAGCGATTATGAAAGTCACAGAATTTGTTTGCACACGAAATCGATTTTCAAATTTAAAGTAGTGACGTTTCTTCAAATTTTGAAGCGTGTGAGGATCAAAAGTTGGAGCAAACAAGCTGGTAAACCGGACGTCAGTTCAGGTTGACAAATTTATGACAGTGGACTTGATGGACACCAATGACATCATCTTGCTCAAAAGGGTTCTATTTTGTATTACTGTACTTGAAAATATGCATCAGAATACCGTATTTTTTTATCTCCTCGTCGCTCGATGCAATTTGAGATAATTTTTCTCAACTGGAATATTTTGGCGAAAAAGAAACATTTGCGTTTCACGTGCGAAATTTCGTGGGGGAAAAGTCGTGGGTACAGCGCTGTACTAAGCGTTTTCTTAGCTTAATTCTAGATATTTTCTTTATAATCAACTGAAAACACAAAGCGAACTTTGAGAAAGGGTTTAATCACTTATATTTCTGCAGTTGAGAAAGAATGGTTGTGCACATTTCATTTGGTTGATCATTTCGGAATTGAAACTCTTTTTTTTTTTGCTCTTCCGTCGCAGGAACGCAGTTTTGGTCTTATCCTGCACGATTTTCGCTGTTAAATTTTGAAAATGTCTCTTTGCCGAAGTAATCACGCGTTTTTTGTCTTCTTTTTCTCAGGGAGCTGTATCCAAACAAGACTGATGCGATTGACAAATTGAAAGCCCATTTGTTGGAAAGCAATCAAGAGATCGCACCGCTGAAAGTTTGGCAGTTGCAAGATCTCAGCTTGCAGGCCGCGGAAAGAATAAAAGCTGCACCGAAAGACGAAGCTCGATTGACAAATTGAAAGCCCATTTGTTGGAAAGCAATCAAGAGATCGCACCGCTGAAAGTTTGGCAGTTGCAAGATCTCAGCTTGCAGGCCGCGGAAAGAATAAAAGCTGCACCGAAAGACGAAGCTCTGAGCATCATGAGTCAGATTTCGCAAAACTTCCCACTTCAGGTTCGTCCAGCATGCATCCATCATCTACTGGACTTCGGAAATGTGTCACCTCTTCTTATCTTTTTTTTTTCTTTTTTGCAGAAAAAGGCATTATTTTCTGTTACTTTCTTTTTTATTGGAATTCATTCATTTGTATCACGAATATTTTTTTGATTTGTTCGAGGGATGTCTGATTTTTCACTTCGTATTTTCAAACTAAGAAACGGTGGTGAGATGAACGAATCTTTCCTACGGGTTGTCTGTGTAATTTTCCGCATTTAAAATGTTTTCCCATGAATTGATTGACCATTGCACGATCTCAGAGAATATGATCTTTCACGGTATTCTGCAAGGTCACATTCATCTAAGTGTTCTGGAGATCAGCTCAAATCTTCACCAATGATAACTTTCTAATATTAAAACTGTCTGCAAGTTGTATTTATTGGAATGATCATCATTTGCATTTGCTAATTAATGATAACGAAAAGTTCTCCAAAATCAGTACAGTATTTGCGGATTGCTTCACTTCTTGTTTCAAGATTGCTGGGAAACATGCTCAAATTCGTGCAAAATTTGCTGACAAGCTTTGGAATTTAGAAAAAAATGGATCTTATTTTTAAAAACTGGTTGCAAATTTTTCGAAATGCCCACGGAATTCGAAATTCCTCGCGCTTGGGTTAGAAAATATTTTTCACGTGAATTTAGGTGATTTCTTCGTTATTTGGTAATACTTGTGCTAATACGCAAGCATTTCAAGCTATTTTTTAATTGCAATGTGTGAACTATTTCTATCTCTGTACAGGCGCGATCCTTGGTCAGAACAGCTGTTCGCGATGAGCTTCGCAAAGAGGTGAAGAAAAACCAGAAAATCATTCAAAACGAAATCGGAATCCAGCCGTCGGATGCATTTTTGCTGGTCAATGGACTCACCTATGACATGGATACGATTGACCCATTTTCTTTGCTGGATTCGTTGAAAACCGAGCACAAGAAGATGGAAGGACTGCATCAACTCGGTTTGAACCAGGAGACCGTCGTCAAAATGCTTTCGTTGGACATTGGCAAGAGTAAATCCACGTCATCCAAAGGATCTCCGTCTTATGCTTTGGACATTCGGGACACGGCTGTGGTTTATGTTAATGACATAGAGAAAGATCCGTCTTACGCCAAGTGGCCGTCTCAGTTGTTGGAGCTGTTGAGACCCGTTTTTCCAGGGATGTTGAGAAGCATTCGGAGGAACATTTTTCACCTGGTAAAATATTTTCTTTCGGCCGAAAATTTGATATCACTTAAGATTCATGTGCGGAATTTTCTCGCGGTCCCTCTATGAAACAAGGCGCCAAATTGGAGCCAAAACTGTAATCCAATCGGCGCATCACCGGGACGCGCCGACACAAACGAAAGTTAAAACCGATTCCCGCGAAAGGGGTATCCTAAAATAAAACGCGAAACGAATTGGCGAAACAAAGACCCCGAGGCCAAAAAAGGAGAGCGATCCCCGGAAACGGGATAAAACAAATCGCCGAAAAAGTCGGCGCCACCCTTTTT